AAGTTTTGCTGGCTTAGTGAAGGGAGGGATGGATGGCTGTTCACACCCAAAGGACGTCAGGGTTGCTTGTTTATAATAAAAAAAGCAATCACAATGAGATTTTTTTACATTACATATAAAAGGTTTTATAATGCTGCTTCACCCAAGGCTAAATTGGTACAATAAAATCATCAAGGCATACCGAAGACCTTGAACCCCTAGCGTTAACTCTATTTTGCATTTGGAAGTGAGTGATATGCTGTTTACAACAGTTTACCAAGGTGGAGCAGTGGCACAGTGGTTTGTGCACTATGAAGAGAGAGATGGGCGTTGAATACCCAGCCATGGCTAACATCAGTGGCGAGTGATATTAGAACCGGTCCTGGGATGCTGGCTTCACGAACAGCAATGATTAATATGGTGAAGTATGGTCAAACACCACCCATGACTGACATGGCATGGGGCAGCCTTCATTCAGCATTTGAGTGACATATTGCATATTTTCAAACTTTATGGTGAAATGTTTAATTTACAAAGGTGAAGTCCAACTTGATATTTCAACTGCGTGACCAAACTTCGTTTTAAACTACATCATTTGATCCTTGTCAAAATACACATTCGGCATGTTTATTTTTTTTACTTGAAGATATGAACACATGTTTAAATATATGCCACTTCAATTTCATACAAATCAAATTCCCTAAAATAAATGTGGCTGTTTGCTCAGGCCCTGTCCTACAATGAGCTGCTGTGTATCTGCAAATAAAGCTAAAATAGTACTGCCTTTTAACACTGTAATGCACTTCGTGTTAAATAGGTTGGACACCTATTACAAGTACGTTTGCTTTCAAAATTGTCTACGTGAATACACATTTAACATGCCCCTATCATCGCTATCAATGTTATTAACCAGTATCCATATACACATGGTATGTTTGCCACAACATTTGAGTTAAAATTAGAACACGAAGAGTGACTATGAAAAAACACAAACATGTCCTTTGCATGTTTGCAATGTAGGGCCATTGCCTAAAAACATGCTGTTACATATTTATTTTCCTTTTAAGGCAGTTTTATTGACAAATGTGAGGTTTTTTGTTGTGCTCGTGCACCACTGTCAATGCAGTATCACAAAATACTTTTTACTTTTGTATTCGTCATTTCCATATACAAATAAATATAAATGTAACACTCCTGGTATAGCTACACTAGCTGGAAGTACCCGGCGTTGCCTGGGCGAAAAAGACACACGTCGACTTACACACACACATCGACCCATACACACATCGGCCCACACACACATAGACTTAGACACACAAAGACACAGATCCCTGTATAGCCTTAACAGACTGGAGGGGCAAGTGCTGTTAGCGAGCACCTATGAAGGCCGGAACGGTACATGAGGGGGTGGGTGGCCAGCATCACGCCCAGCCACCTGTCTCCCCAGTGGCGACGTTTACACACCGCACCAGGTACTCATTTGAGGCTGCGTAGACCTAGGGGAGGCCCAGGACCGGTTCAGATAATCGTCACTGGTGTGGCCGTGAGTGGGAATCGAACTCTGGTCGTCGGGTTCGTAGACACACAATCGACTCACACACACACAAACACATGGACTTACACACACACGCACATCGACTTACATGCATATATACATAGGCTTACACACACATACATCGACTTACACACGCACACACAGCGACTGTCACACACACATCGACACACACACATACATCGACTTACACACGCACACACAGCGACTGTCACACACACATCGACACACACACATATATCGACTCACACACGCACACACAGTGACTGTCACACACACATCGACACACACACATATATCGACTCACACGCACACATCGATGTACACACGCACACTATTACTTTTACTAAGTTTTTAAGTAATAGTTTTCTATCTACGTCACTTTAGCGAAAGAAGCAAGGGAGAGGGAAAATGCACGTGTATATAAGGAAGTAATTAAGAGCAACGACGAGGGTGTTCGGCCATTTTAGTGCAAACATTTCCCGCGAGCAAAAGCGGCAAATAAATGAAAGTCAACGAATAATAAATCACCCGATCCTACCTGTAACTATGAGCAGATGCGCACCAATCAAGCGTAATTGACATAACGGCACTGTTCAACCACCATAGTGAGGGGGCAAGTGTAAATATGTGAGAATGAAGACGTAATAGCTATCAGTATATGTATTGTTTTGCACCAGTAGTAAGTGATATGACGTAGCTGCTTATGCCTCAAGAGTACAGAAAAAGGCTCTTCTTCCCGTCAAACTTGTTTTTGTGAGCAGGACAGTGATATTTAGAAATGTACATATTTTCAAAGAGAAAACGTGTGCATAAGTGTCATTCTCTCACATAAAGACGTGGTCGCTAAAGCAAAGTTTGTGGGGAATAATGGCCATTTTGTATATAACAATTTAAAAGTAGCACTTAGTACTCGGGAAAAAAATCGTGTTACTTAGGGTAACTATCATCAAACATTCGTTAATCCCTGTCATTAAACAGGAATAGTAATGAGTAAACAGTCATGGTAATAAATACTTGAAGAGAGCTGTAAATTTATGTGTTACCTTGCAGTGTCCACACGAATGAAAATTGCCTACCGTCCCACCCACCGAATGCTGTGACTTGGTAGGGGCGAGCATGCGCAGACGGGTGCTTTGGCGCTCGCTTGGAGGCATGAAGTAATAAATAAATAAAGCACTAAAAATACTTTAAAGGTGACGGACGCGAAATCGGAATAGCGCTGGCTCACCACGGGGCTTATGGCATGCTAGCTGGGTACTTTTTTTAAAACGTAAACCCCACTGTTCGCGAGACAAATCCCTCACAAGTGTCGGCCACAGACAGACACAAAAAAATGTCTTTTAAAGGAAAGAAAATACAGCACAACCACAACTTTGTGTAGTTAATATTACATTTAACGACCATTATTCATTTAGTAATTTTACAGAAACGGTGCAAATAGTGCCCTTGTTTTTTGTAACATCAACTGTTATTATGCTGGGATTAAGGGAGTAGGAAAGGTGGAAGCCATAGTTAATGCAATTTGTCAGATTGTGACGGACATGTCACAGGTATAGCTCGACTCATTGTAATGATCTTGGGCTGTGACGCCAAAGTATCAAAAGCACGTCTATATGACCTTGCTATATTTTTTTTAAGCTACACTTTGTTTTTATAAACATTACTCCCAGGTATGGTTTACATTGCCATACATTAATGGAATCAAATACAGTAATATGAATATGCAGAAAACAATCAAAACTATTTAATCTTTCTTTGTATGCCTGACACTCCAAAGCCCAGACCATCCTAATGCAATAATTCTGTGCTTGTAATAGGGGCCTTCCACTTTCAAGCACTGTAATCCCTCGTGTCAAATTAATCCCAATATCTCGATCACATAATCTTTTCAATTCTTCTAAATGGTTTGTCCCAAAATAGCAATACCAAGGCCAGTGACCAGCTGTCAGGGTAAGCCATCTATAATATGCAAAGACCCATAAAATAACCGAATGGCATCCCTTTTTAACATGAGAAGAATAGCATGCCCATCTATAAACCCTCTAAAACACTAAAGTTACAATCACTGAATTTCTGATTTCTGGTGGTTTAAAAGCCTAATGTGATTCCATTATAAAGACTACGACGTGAACAAAATCAAAGATAGACTTGATTACCTTACTGAAAAAAAATAGTTGGGACAAAACGTACAAAATATGGGGTATTCGACTAACGAATCTACACCGTTAAAGCAAGTGTCTATTTTTAGATCGCTTTGAGTGAGAATGGACACAAGGTACATGTAACGGTGGTATTTACACTACAGATGCTCGCATGTATCAACACACTGTAGCATCATAACTAGTCTCATGAGGGAAGCACAGTCACCTGCGCCTCAGCCTAAGCGCTCCAGGGAAAATCTGTAGTAGCCACACAATAACCCGCTCTCTTCTAATTAACTTGACACTTGCCACCCAATTATTTCTAAAGCTGAAGATTTCCCTTCAGGGCTTGATACTCTACATACAGTACAATTGTAATGTATCTATATTTTAAGTGCAATTTAAGTGGAAATCACAATTATGTCAATCTGTTTGTCTGCACTCTTTAAGATGAAAGTTGATGAGACCAATTGTTTGAACAGTAAATCCACGACTCACAACACAAAATGCAATGCGGGCAACAACTTCCAGTGGATTACAAGAATACACTAATCATAGGATATTGTTTGAATACAATAAAAAATGCCCGTGACAAATTTCAACAATGGGTAATTATTACACATTTTCATTATGTGAGCTTACAATAATAATCGATTGCGGTTGAGGTGTGGCAAGGGTGCTAAGTCTAACAGTGAAAAAAAGCAATATGGGTGAGGGTTCATGCAGAAGAAGCCAAAGACAATGCCAGGAAACGCAAGCATATAGCTTGCTTTGTCGACCAAGAAATAGCAGGAGACGCTGGCCAAATTGAAACTATAAGACCATTACACTGGCTTTTGATAGAACTGATTTAATATAGAAGCATAATTTAACTAGTCTCAAAAAGAAGCATTCATTTTCTTAGAAGATTCAACAGTATTAATATACGAATGGTAACACGTGCATATTTACACTCACATTAGGCATGCACGCTTACACCCAGGTGTACAGTATTACGCCGAATGCGCTGGTACAAAGCATGACATCATTTTTTCTCCCCAAAAAACTATATAAATCTGGGCATTTATATTAGTAGGCAATGTGTCAAGTTTCATAGCGATTAGTTTTAGTTTTTCAGTTATCATGAAAACATGTGAAGCGTATTGAGGCAGATGGGGCTGATAGTCTCCCAAGCTGTAGAAATAAAATGAGCCTATTGGTTCCCTTAACGAAACCTATGAGCAAGGAAAGCAACTAAAGCGCGCAATCGGCCCTCGTCAATTTTACGGACACGCCGATGATGTACTTTGATGCATGCGCAAATGAAATCAGCAGAAAAAACTTACTGCCAAATCCAAAGAAGAGCACGAACATGACGGGGTAAAAGAAGCCGAGGCAGACCGTGAGCACGTACTCGTGGACAACGGCCGAGAGCGAAAACACTGAAAACATGGCCGCCGCCTTAAATCGCCCGCTGAAAGCCTGCAATACACAAAAATATCGGTAAACAGCCACAGCTAAACAAATGTATTGCGATTGCATTGCTCTTTATTTCAAACGAATGCAATAGTTTTTTCAATACCACATTTAAATGTAATATTGAGTGTAAAATATAGAGGGGGAATTACTAGTTCTTTAATTAATTTTTTGGCTCACCCAGCGGAAATCCCGGTAGGTGTAATAATACAGCCAGTCATGAACCACCACATTCCACGTGCGGTAATAGTTGGCGAATGAAGTGGAATTCCACCAGTCCTGCAGCAGAACATGTTTTCACAACCCACGGTTAATAAACTGTATTTTTCTCCCAAAGTCAGCCCCTGCAATTCCACAATGAAAGTATTAAGCTTGGTATTCTTGGTGCTTTCGGTAAAGTCACGTAGAAGGGAAACAACAAAATAATAAAAATATAAAACAATAAAATTCTCACGTTTCGACTGCAACACAAGCAATCATCATCAGGTGTGAAAACCACAACAAGAAGATTTGAAAAAAAGTGGCGTTTTTTTAACGTTAGCACCACGGATAGCGATTTAACAGTTTGTTCAGATGGACGAGTCCATCTATGTTCAGAAAAGAGGAGGGGGGAGACGAAAAATAATGGATGCGGTCTGAAAGCCACCTTAAGCGTGATCAATTAAGACCCGAAATGGTTTATCAAATCCTTCCAATGATTGCTAAGCCAGAATCCATCTTCTCGGTTGAAATTGTCTCTGTGTTTGTATATGTGGATAGCCTCATGAACGAATCTCTCATGGTAGCCAGATGGCTTGCAAAGAACCTGTCTTGGAGAAGTCAATGTCATGTGAACCTACTGAATTATAACAGTAATCTGCCACGGCCGAGGTGTTGGTCCTACCGTGTTTCAGGTCTGCTTTGTGTTCACGAATGCGGTCCGAGACATGTCGTTTGGATTCTCCAATGTAACTACTACCACAGAGTCAACTTAGTTTGTAGACGCCAGGGTACTGTATGTCCGGAATCACATATTTTACAGACGGAACCAGATCACGGATTTTATGTAATGTGTTGAATCGGACCTGGATCTTGTGTTTATTCAAGATTTTGGAGATATTTTTTGTGATCCCTGCAATGTAGGGTAAAGTGATGGTTTTGAAAGGCTCCTCAAGAGGGTTCTTCTTCATGGTTGTAGTGATAGCTTTGCGGATTGTGTAGTCGGAATAACCATTAGCCTTAAGAGCTTGGTGTACGTGCTTGAGTTCACTGGCTATGTGTTCCTGGTCGGATATGCATTGGGCTCTATGGTGTAGAGTCTTGATGAGGGAATTCTTCTGGGATGGATGGTGGTGGGAATCCGGTTTCAGGTAAGCATCCATATGGGTAGCTTTCCTGTAGACAGAGTGGATCATTGAACCATGTGGCCAGATGACAAAAGTGTCATCCACGTACCTCTTCCATAAGGTTGGGCGCAGGGTGGCAGTCTGGATGGCGTCAGTCCCAAATTTCTCCATGAAAATGTTGGCTACAACCGGAGAAGGGGGGAGCCCATTGGGGTGCCCTTAGTTTGTTTGTAGAAAGTTCCATTCCAAGTGAAGTATGTATTGGTTAAGCAGTGTCTTACCAGGGGGGGTACCTCAGTGTTTAGTCCTTGATAAACCAAGTCTTCAATGATTGCGATAGTGTCAGGTACAGGAACTTTGGTGTATAAGGAAACTACATCAAAGCTGACAAGCAGGTCGCCTGGGGACAGGGGAATACCCTTGATTGTCGATATCAGGCGAGTAGAATTTTGTACCGCATAAGTGGTTTTTCCAGTGAAAGGCCGAAGGATTTCAGGCAGAAAACGAGCCAGTTTGTAGGTGGGAGAGTTGATAGTAGAGACGATGGGACGAAGGGGTGTATCTACTTTATGTATTTTTGGTAAGCCGTATAATTTTGGTGGCCTGGCAGCAGAAGGTTTCAATGAGAATTGTTTGGTTTGATCAATTAATGCGGTTGAATCAGAAATGATCCAGGTCCGATTCAACACATTACATAAAATCCGTGATCTGGTTCCGTCTGTAAAAGATGTGATTCCGGACATACAGTACCCTGGCGTCTACAAACTAAGTTGCCTCTGTGGTAGTAGTTACATTGGAGAAACCAAACAACATGTCTCGGACCGCATTCGTGAACACAAAGCAGACCTGAAACACAGTATGACCAACACCTCGGCCGTGGCAGATCGAAGATGGATTCTGGCTTAGCAATCATTGGAAGGATTTGATAAACCATTTCGGGTCTTAATTGATCACGCTTAAGGTGGCTTTCAGACCGCATCCATTATTTTTCGTCTCCCCCTTCCTCTTTTCCGAACATAGATGGACTCGTCCATCTGAACAAACTGTCAAATCGCTATCCGTGGTGCTAACGTTAAAAAAACGCCACTTTTTTTCAAATTTTCTTGTGGTTTTCACACCTGATGATGATTGCTTGTGTTGCAGTCGAAACGTCGTGATAATTTTATTGTTTTATATTTTTATTATTTTGTTTCCCTTCTACGTGACTTTACCGAAAGAACCAAGAATATGAATCCCTGCAGTCACGAAAGCTTTAAATCAAAATTTATTAGCTTGGTGTCGAGACTGGTGCAGTAATTGTTACCAACCCAGCCATCCTCGTTTGTCACATTCATGTTTAGTAACATAATAATAGGAGTCCTGAACTTCTGCGAGAAGATATTTCACATCAATCGTACCTCATGCATGTATACAACAATGAGTAGGGTAAATAATTCCCACATGTATCTTTCCCAGTCTGTGGAGCAAAAATTTGATTGAGGTGACAACAGTTTATAAAGTTCTGATCTATAATTTCGCTTTTTTAAATCGAAAGGGAACAGTACATTACTTTTTCACTGAAATGGATAAGCCATTGTCGGAAAATGTTTTCACAATGTGGCTATTCAATAATTTAATGGGTCTTGTTGAAGTGCCTTGATAGCACTATGCCTCGCTCTAAACTAACAGGAAATATAACAAAGTGTAAAAGAAGCATTAGAATAAAAGACCAGAAAATCAATGACATAGATGAGTATTTTATTGTATCCCTGACCTGATAAAACATACGGTCCGCAAACCGTAGCATCTCCGCAAAGGCATTGAGCCAGCAGTGCAGGAAGGCAAAGAAGGCTAAAAGCAAAATAAGAACACCTGAAAAAAATAGACAATTGCATTACATTATTGAAACTTTTATAGATGACCAAAAATCACAATATTACAGCCATTTACCATCAATTTCCAAAGATACATTTTTGTTACAAAATTTGAGTAAGGGAATCTTATGACCAGACTAATCACTCGGGGTGGATGATTTACCACCTCCCTCCGACCTCCACTGGCCACTCAAATTAAAACAAAAAACGTCAATTCTCACATGCCCGATTTTATGCATGTATCGTGGTCCTAAGAATTTTTATCACTCGATGCATTGCTCTGGCACTACTAAATCAGCAATGCTGTGTCATCCACTCGATAGGCAGATTGTTCTGCATCTACAGTAACTGAACTCACCAGGCAAGGTGCAGTTAAACATGTTCAACACCAGCACCCGTATGCTCAAAGGCTCCTTGCCAAAGTTTCTGAACAGCGGAATGCACAGTCTTACAAAGACGTAGTAAGCGTAGAACAGGCATCCGAGCACCTGTGAACACAACGTGAAACTGAGACAACACTTACATTTGAATTGCACTTTTCATGTCATGCAGTGTAAATGCGTTTTGTGTAAACTCAGCACACTTGGGTTAGGATTTTTACAAGTGAGATAAAATGTAATACCTGTGCAAAGTTCATGGCTACAAATTTCCATCTTATTGTCGGGGTCCTGAAAAGCATAAAAGTACAATGGACATTAGCAACTGTAAAAATAATAAAACATTACTATCAAACCTGAAGTGAACTCCTGTTCCTCAAGGTAAAGAGAGAAAAGATACTGAACCAGAGAAAAACAATGTAAAAATCTTGCAAAATTAGTACTCTCTTGATTTGAAGCTTTCGTGACTACAGGAATTCATACTCTTTGGTTTTTTCGGTCAAGTCACGTAGGTAGAAAAAATAATAGATCACGATGTTTCGTTTGCCACATACAGAGGGAAAAAAGTATTTTATCCCCCTGCTGATTTTGTACGTTTGCCCACTGACAAAAAATGATCAGTCTATAATTTTAATGTTAGGTTTATTTAAACAGTGAGAGAGAATAACAAAAAAATCCAGAAAAACGCATGTCAAAAATGTTATAAATTGATTTGCATTTTAATGAGGGAAATAAGTATTTAAACCCCTCTCAATCAGAAAGATTTCTGGCTCCCAGGTGTCTTTTATACAGGTAACGAGCTGAGATTAGGAGCACACTCTTAAAGGGAGTGATCCTAATCTCAGCTTGTTACCTAAATAAAAGACCCTTGTCCACAGAAGCAATCAATCAGATTCCAAACTCTCCACCATGGCCAAGACCAAAGAGCTCTCAAAGGATGTCAGGGACAAGATTGTAGACCTTCACAAGGCTGGAATGGGCTACAAGACCATTGCCAAGCAGCTTGGTGAGAAGGTGACAACAGTTGGTGCGATTATTCGCAAATGGAAGAAACACAAAAGAACTGTCAATCAACCTCGGCATGGGGCTCCCATGCAAGATCTAACCTCGTGGAGTTGCAATGATAATGAGAACGGTGAGGAATCACCCCAGAACTACACTGGAGGATCTTGTCAATGATTTCAAGGCAGCTGGGACCATAGTCACCAAATAAACAATTGGTAACACACTACGCCGTGAAGGACTAAAATCCTGCAGCGCCCGCAAGGTCCCCCTGCTCAAGAAAGCACATATACATGCCCGTCTGAAGTTTGCCAATGAACATCTGAATGATTCAGAGGACAACTGGGTGAAAGTGTTGTGGTCAGATAAGACCAAAATGGAGCTCTTTGGCATCAACTCAACTCGCCATGTTTGGAGCAAGAGGAATGCTGCCTATGACCCCAAGAACACCATCCCCACCGTCAAACATGGAGGTGGAAACATGCTTTGGGGGTATTTTTCTGCTAAGGGGACAGGACAACTTCACCGCATCAAAGGGACGATGGATGGGGCCATGTACCGTCAAATCTTGGGTGAGAACCTCCTTCTCTCAGCCAGGGCATTGAAAATGGGTCGTGGATGGGTATTCCAGCATGACACTGACCCAAAACACACGGCCAAGGCAACAAAGGAGTGACTCAAGAAGAAGCACATTAAGGTCCTGGAGTGGCTTAGCCAGTCTCCAGACCTGAATTTCATGGAAAATCTGTGGAGGGAGCTGAAGGTTCGAGTTGCCAAACGTCAGCCTCGAAACCTTAATGACTTGGAGAAGATCTGCAAAGAGGAGTGGGACAAAATCCCTCCTGAGATGTGTGCAAACCTGGTGGCCAACTACAAGAAACGTCTGACCTCTGTGATTGCCAACAAGGGTTTTGCCACCAAGTACTAAGTATTGTTTTGCAGAGGGGTCAACTACTTATTTCCCTCATTAAAATGCAAATCAATTTATAACATTTTGACATGCGTTTTTATGGATTTTTTTGTTGATATTCTGTCTCTTACTGTTCAAATAAACCTACCATTTTCATTTATTTGTCAGTGGGCAAACGTACAAAATCAGCAGGGGATCAAATACTTTTTTCCCTCACTGTAAGCAATCGTCCTCAGGTGGGATAGAGAAACAGGCTGCTGAAACAAGTCCTTAGAAATAGAGCCGAGAGGGGGGGGGAGGGGGGGTTGCCGCATCGGGCAAGAGGGTGGGGGCTAGAGATTGTGCCTAAGCGAGTGGGAAATCTGAAGATGGGAACCGAGATGGGGGGAGGGGTGATGCGGAGAGCTGCCAGAGCTGAAGAGGTGGCCATTGTATTGTGAGAGATTAGCATGTCAATGTAAACGAACCAACGCAACGGTGGCTGTGCTAATGAGACATCCAGCTCGTTAGAAAACAAACGACACACACTGAGGCACACCCACGCACAGAGAGACACACACACAGATAGACACACACAGAGAGAGACACACGCAGAAGGACACACCCACACACAGAGACATACACACAAAGTGACACACAGAGAGACACACATACACACGAGAGAGAGACATATAGGGAGACCAACACAGAGAGACACGCAAACCGAGAGACACACACGCAAAGAGACACACACAGAGAGAGAGACACACACAACAACATCACAGCCAGTTATATTCTGCTAAAAAACGACAGCCACCGCGACATCGAGGGAAAGGGGCAATGTTGGCTTTGTTAGTGAGACATTTAGTTTGTTAATGTAAAGACATTTAACTTACTCTTTGGTTCTATTCGGTAAAGTCACATAGGTAAAAAATAAAACAACAAAAATCACGACGTTTCGGCTACAACACAAGCAGCCTTCATCAGGTGAAGGGACCAGACTGTCTCGAGGACAGCGATGGAGTGAAACACAGCCAAGCTCAGACTGCGACCTTTAAGCTGTGTGAGAGTAATTAAGGTGCCTTGAAAATCTAGACATTTAACTTAGTAAGGTAAATTGGTAATGTAACTCAGAGAGTCGGAAATAACTGCTGACAATGGCAGGTAAGATGGAAACATCAACAACCAGTTAAGGCTTTACCTGGTTAATAACGTCATACCCATCTTCTTGGTTGAAGTTATGTCTGTGTTTATATATCTGGATGGCTTCATGAACCAATCCTGGATGGTAGCCCGAAGGTTTGCAGAGTACCTTGGGCTCGGAAAAAACAATGTCGTGTGAGCCCACAGCGTTCAAGCAGTGATCAGCTACGGCAGAAGTATTGGTTCTGCCGTGTTTCAAATCTGCCTTGTGTTCGCGAACACGGTCCGAGACGTGTCATTTCGTTTCCCAAATTTAACTGCTACCACAGACAAAACTTAGTTTGTAGACACCAGGGTATTGCATGTCAGGAATCACATCTTTCACAGATGGGATCAGGTCACGGATTTTGTGTACTGTGTTGAATCGAACCTGAATCTTATGTTTGTTCATGCTTTTGTAAATCTTTTTGGTAACCCCTATGTATGGCAAGGTGATAGTTTTGATTGGATCGAAAGATGGTTCTCTACCCATGATTGGGGATACAGTTTTGCAGATTGTGCGGTCCAAATATCCATTCATCTTGAGGGCTTGGCGTACGTGCTCCAGTTCACTGGATAGGTAGTGCTGGTCGGAGACGCACCGGGCCCTAGAGTGTAGTGTTTTGAAAAGAGAATTATTCTGGGCTGGATGGTGGTGGGAATCAGGCTTTAGATAGGAATCCGTGTGGGTGACTTTCCTGTAGACAGTGTCCCAACGAGCCATCAGGTCTCTTCTCGATCAAAACATCCAGGAATGGTAGCTTGCCATTATTTTCTACTTCCATGGTGAATTTGATAGATGGGTGTATGGAATTGATGTGGTTGAAAAGTTGGTTCAGTGCTGACATGCCATGTGGCCAGATGATAAACATGTCATCTACATATCTCTTCCACAAGGAGGGATGTAGGGTGGATGTCTGGATGGCATCTGTCTCAAATTTCTCCATGAAAACATTCGCTACCACTGGCGATAAGGGAGAGCACATTGGGGTACCCTCATTTTGTTTGTAGAGTGTACCATTCCAGGTGAATTAAGTGTTGGTAAGGCAGTGCTTCACCAACGTTGGTACATCAGGATTCAGTCCCTGTTGGATCAAGTCTTCAATGATTGCAATGGTGTCAGGTACCTTGGTGAACAGGGAGACTACATCGAAACTGACAAGCAAATCATCTGGGGCCATTGACATGTCCTTGATTAGAGAAACCAAGTGAGCTGAGTTAAGTACAGCTGAGGTGGTCTTGCCCATGAAAGGAAGCAGGGTCTCAGACAGAAATCGGGCCAGTTTGTAGGTAGGTGAGTTAATGGTGGTGGAGACAATAGGACGAAGCGGGGTACCTTCTTAATGGATTTTTGGAAGGCCATAAAATCTAGGTGGTCGAGCAGCCGAAGGTTTTTATAGAGCTGCTTGGTCGGTTCGATTAGAGAAGTCGAATTAGTGATATTGTTGGTTTTCATGGCAAGGCAGTTGGTAAGATCTCTATTGATTTTGGTACAGCTGCCATCATTAAGGAGGTCCTGAATTTTGTTGCTGTAAGTGGTTTTATAAATGATGACAGTGGCATTGCCCTTGTCGGCTGAGAGGATGACAATGTCATCTCTCTTTTTCAATTGAGCGAGTTCAAAACGCTCGTCCTTGCCAATGTTGCTAATGGGTTTCTTAGCGTTTTTGAGGATAGCAGCGATTTCAGATCTTGCAATGTCTGCTGGGATGTGTCTCAAACCTTTGAGGGCTACGTCTACCTGGGCATTGATATCATCCACTGGGATGTGTTTAGGGGTGACTGCGAAATTCAACTCCGACCAGCACCCCCTATCCAGTGAACTGGAGCACGTACACCAAGTCCTCAAGATGAATGGCTATACGGACCGCACAATCCGCAAAGCTGTATCCCCAACCATGGGTAGAGAACCATCTGAGGACCCAATCAAAACCATCACCTTGCCATACATAGCAGGAGTTACCAAAAAGATTTCCAAAATATTGAACAAACACAAGATTCAAGTTCGATTCAACACAGTACACAAAATCCGTGACCTAATCCCATCTGTGAAAGATGTGATTCCTGACATGCAATACCCTGGTGTCTACAAACTAAGTTGTGTCTGCGGTAGCAGTTACATTGGGGAAACGTAACATGTCTCGGACCGTGTTCGCGAACACAAGGCAGATTTGAAACATGGCAGAACCGATACCTCTGCTGTAGCTGATCACTGCTTGAACGCTGTGGGCTCACACGATAGTTTTTTCCGAGACCAAGGCACTCTGCAAACCTTCGGGCTACAATCAAAGATTTGTTCATGAAGCCATCCAGATATATAAACACAGACATAACTTCAACCGAGAGGATGGGTACAAATTTAACAATCGTTGGAAGGACGTTATTAACCAGGTAAAGCCGTAACTGGTTGTTGATGTTTCCATCCTAGCTGCCATTGTCAGCAGTTATTTCTGACTGAGTTACATTACCAATTTACATTACCAAGTTAAATGTCTTTAAATTAACAAACTAAATGTCTCACTAACAAAGCCAACGTTGCCCCTTTCCCTCGATGTGGCGGTGGCTCTCGTTTTTTAGCAGAATATAACTGGTTGTGATGTTGTTGTGTGTGTCTCTCTCGCTGTGTGTCTCTTTGTGTGTGTCTCTCGGTTTGTGTCTCTCTCTCTGTTTGTTTCCCTATATGTCTCTCTCTCTCGTGTCTCTTTTTGTGTATGTGTGTCTCTGTGTGTCACTTTGTGTGCATGTCTCTGTGTGTGGGTGTCTTTCTGTGTCTCTCTCTGGGTGTGTCCCTCTGTGTGTGTCTGTGTCTCTGTGTGCGTTTCTCTGTGTGTCTGTGTCTCTGTGTGTCTCTCTGTCTCTGTGTGTGTCTCTCTCTGTGCATGGGTGTGCCTCGGTGTGTGTCTCTCTCTCCTTCCCTCGATGTGGTGTCGTTTGTTTTCTAACGAGCTGGATGTCTCACTAGCACAGCCACCGTTGCGTTGGTTTGTTGACATTGACATGCTCATCTCTCACAATACAATGGCCACCTCCACAGCTCCCGCAGCTCTTCGCATCAACCACCCCCCCTTCCCCCCGCCATCTCGGTTCCCATCTTTGGATTTCCCACTCGCTTAGGCACAATCTATAGCCCCCACCCTCTTCCCCTCCCCCCCCCCTCTCGGCTCTATTTCTAAGGACTTGTGTCAGCAGCCTGTTTCTCTATCCCACCTGAGGACGATTGCTTGTGTGGCGATCAAAACGTTGTGTAATCCAAAGCACTCGTATATCAAAGCGAATTTCCCCAAAATAAATAATGGAAAATCAAGATTATTCATTCCACAACCCAAAAATATTCATATAAAAATTATTCATACAAAATACCCTTTAATATTTTTATTATTTAAATGTAATATAAAGTAATCAAATGTATTATTTTTTCTACCTACATGACTTTACCGAAAGAACCAAAGAGTATGAGTACTCTCTGTTCTCCTATAATGTGAGTTTTCATAACGGCAATTGGATATAACGTGAGGAATGTATTAGGGAACACATTTTTATAACGTGGATGCGAATTGGGTATAATGCGATTGAGTGAACAAAACTATGTTCGCGTGAGTAGGAACAAGCGGTTGTACGGCTGCCTCGGCATAGCATCACACAAGGCGGGATGCACACCTTACATCTTTATTCAGCCTGCATACGCTTCTCACGTGTTATCGAGGACTGTGATTTACCCTATATTATTAATTATAACGCGATTTTTCCATAATGCGTTGTTCTTCAGAAACGCAACTGCCGCATTATAGAACAGACTGTACTCTAAGGTATGTTTAATGCCTTGGGCACTCACCTTGGGTAACTGTCCCTGTAAATAAGTGTTGGACAGAATAAGAAATAGAGGTAATGGTTGAAATCTGGCAGTTTAGGTGGAGAATCTGAAAAAAACAATATATTCATTGTAAAAAGTTTGCATGTCAATTATATAACATTTAGAAATTTTACTTTCTGCCATGTTATTTCAGGTTCTTATTGCCTGCTGGACTTTTGCCATATATACTTTCTACTACGTTTAATTGCGGCCCTAAATATAGGTTTGGTATGAGTGGCCTTGAGTTCCTGCCCCTTGATTTTTTCTTTGCCTTCTTCAATTATCACCATAAAAACAAAGAATGGTATGTCGTCAAACAGCAAAAAGGTCAGCATTCAAGCACGCACACTAAATGTGCGGATGAGGCATTGCAATAATGCATTGAAGCATTTTAGTCTTGCAGATATAAAAATAGCAAAAATTGTATCACTGATCATCATGGCAATGTCTTCTCGAAAGGGGAAATAACGGTTAACAAACCATATGGATATCAATGTATTGCAATTAAATGGAGAGAAAATTAAGGCATACCTGATCACAGAGCATCTGTTCAACCCAGCTGTTTGATGGGACATGCGTAGTTGATCAGTGTGTAATGATTAATGTGCTTTAAACATATTGTAGAACCAGTTTCAAATTTTGACAATATTTGTTTTAACAAACTTACCTCCTTTGCAATGGCTCTGCATGATTCTTGGCACATTTTCACGCACAAATGAATGAGCTTTCATAACAAGGCGCACCTGTGGGATTACATACAAGTCATCCTGTTCCTGATTTTTAATCAGACATTATACAAATCAAATCAGTTGGTTAGACTACCAATTGAGATAAAAAGCTAAAAGCAACTGACTGTAGTCAATTATATAAATTAAATTAAATTACCGTGTTGATGTGGTAACAAAACCCCTAAAGAAAATCATGGCAACGTCATACATGACACGCTGTAATCAGTGGGTATAGAAACTCGTGCTATAACAATGTATTGACGATTCAAGGATTAGCATTGATTCTTAAGCTTACAATACGGGCATAAAATCACGTGTGTAAAAATGTTTTTTAATTTGTATACGTTCTAAGCAATAATTATAATTTATGATGCGCATTCTATTCTAGGTTCATGTGATGCGTGCAGCTCAAGGCCGTAGCCATGGAGTCAACATTGGGGGGAACCAAATCTTCCAGAGGATTTGGGGGTCCCCCCCCCAGAAAAAAATGTTAATTTGAAAACGAATTTCCTGCCATTTCCTGCCTAAAATATAAAATAATTCACTAACACATAGGATGGACTTTTTTTTTTACAATGTCTAATAGTGGATTGTATTACATTGCTCTGTTTTTTCTTTTTTACCTTTTCTTGTTTCATTGCATGTAACGGCAGAGATTAGGGATTAATAAAGTACAACCATAACCACAATAATATAAACAGAAATCTATTTTATAGCAATATATTGGGGGGGACATTTTGAACATATTTTAATATTGGGGGGGATGTGTGTCCCCCCCCCATTATATATTATAATTACGGCCTTGGTGGAGCTAGATGCAGCTATAGTAACCATAAGCTAAAACTAAGCCAATATTAATCGAAACCCTAAAATCGTGTCAATCCATGAAATCGGTAGAGGTGGAAGGGTTATTATTAAACCTCTCAGAAACAAATAGCCTAAATATTTGGGGATTTTATTAACTGCATATGTCACTGGGGGTTGTTTAAAATAATCCACAAGGCAAAATAAATACCTGCTCAAGAATGAGAATGAAGCGGGAGGCTGGAGGGAGTGAATAATGCACCACGGCATAGACAGGCGTGACACCCAACCCCAGGATTTGAAAGGCGAAGTACAGCAGCCCGTAGTAGGCCGTGTAAAGGCCATGCCAGTGCACGGCTTGGTACCCAGTGCCCCAGCGGCACAGCAGCCAGTAGGGCACCAACAGTGTCCCCAGGAACATGCACAACCAAGCCCAGAGTGCTGTTGGTAGCTGCCCAAAGGCAAATACCAAAAGGTCAAAATCTAGCACCAGCCTAAATGTTGGAAGAAAAATGTCAAAATCATTTGTGTACATTTTCACAGCTTGGTAAACCACTTTTGAATGTGTTTTCAACAGAACTGTGATGTCCTCAATAAAAATGAAACTTCGTAAATGGATACAATTATCTAAGATTGTGTCTGTGTTTATCTTCAAGTAAATGCCATTTAATGACTCCTGCCCATTGCAGTAGATGTACATCAAAGAAACCAGGTAAGCCAGATAAAAAAATTATATTAAGAACACCATGCAAAAGTAAGTTACTGTGTATATGTGAACAAGCATGCTGCTACTGTAACCCACCTTCCTTGATCGATAAAATCCACTGCGACAGTGCTAATGACGAAGAGCATCAACACCGCTATGAACATGTGGTAGATTGTTCTTACGTGGTTGATCTCAAACAGCTCACTGAAAAAAAAGCACGTAATTATAAACCCAATTCTGAATTACATTTTATTGCAAATAATTACGTGATGTTCCATCCTAAATGAAATGTATAAGCTGAAAATTTTGGTAACAAAAATGCAGTGTAAGTGCCTTTGGATCAATGGGCTTGCAATATGTAACGTTTTGATTGTAAAACTACTTAATAAAAAAAGTCATCCATAAAATCCTGGTAATTTAGCATCTGATTACCGCTTCAAAACGTGCTGAGTAAGGGTTATGATTATTGCTGAGGAAGATAGTGAGGTGCGGTAGAATGACCGACAATGGCAACGATGACCTCTTTAATGACCCTGACGGTAACTTATCACTTGAAAAACATGTCTCACAAAGATGAGATAAGCATTGCTTTTTCTACAACAGCGGCCTTCAGTTAAAATCGTCCTAAACACGATTATAACAAAACTAGTGTTTATATTTGTGATATACAGTAAAACCTTGGATTGCGAGCATAATTCGTTCCGGAAACGTGTTTGTAATCCAAAGCACTCGTATATCAAAGCGAATTTCCCCATAATAAATCATGGAAACTCAGATTATTCGTTCCACAACCCAAAAATATTCATATAAAAATTATTAATACTAAATACCTTTTAATATTTTTATTATTTGTATTTAATATAAAGTAAGCAAATTCATAAATTAAATTAATCGTGGCTGGTGTGAGGGAGACGAGAGAGAGGAGAGGAAGGTTATCATGTAGGACGACTTTCACTGTCACTAACGGAATCACTGCTGTTGGCTCACTGGAATCTTTCTTTTTGTCCAACTTTAACAAGGAACCTATCCAATGACACTTGCTTTTGCCTCTTTTTGAGGATTTCGCGGAAATGTGACATTGCATTGTCGTTAAACAGATTCATCGCTCGCACTGCTACAGCCTTATTCGGCTGGTGCTTTTCTAAAGAACAGTCACTACACTTGGACACAAAATAAAAAAAATGCTTTACGCACACAAACGTGGTCACAACACTATAGTAAACAGTATACGCTCACACGGATGTTGACTATACGAGTGAGGCACGCTGACTGAGACCGAGCATGGGAGACGATTACCCACAATCCCGCAGCGAGAGAGAAAGAAGAACCATCGGATCAGTTGTGATCACGTGACGCTCGGCAGACAAAGCGTATACGTACTATTCGTATTGCAAGACCTCGCTCGTTTATAAAGTTAAAATGTATTTTAAAAATTTGCTCGTCTTGCAAAACACTCGCAGACCAAGTTACTCGCAATCCAAGGTTTTACTGTATCACAATTAGTGTTAAGTTAATTCTTAAATATTCTCAAAAATGGTCCCCAACTGCAAATTTCCCTAAGCTTGATTGCACATTATTAATACTTTCTTCACAATTGCATCTCTTGCCACATTTTGTAATCATGAAACTCCCATATTTGGGTATGATAATTGTTTCTGCCAATATCAACAAGGATAGAGAAAAAAAAGGTGACCATTGGCAACTATATTCATTTAAAAAATACATTTGGACCTCATCACTTCAACAAAATTGTTATATTCAATATTTGACATCCTGTTTTTAAGCAGTATTCTAAACTAGGGGTTGTTTGGGCGCCCCTCACAACCATTTACAGCATTTGGCCCGGAAAGTCACGAAAAAAATTGCACACGAACGACGCATTCATGCAAGCACCCCATGCTCCGTTTTGAAGTTGCATTATGTCTTCAATTAGACAATTTTATTTCTTCATTCAAAGCTTATATCATTTTACATCTGGAAGACTTCATTGACAACGACATTTCGTGTGAATTTTCTCTCGTCGTTAAGTAGATGGCCTTGCTGGGGGTTCGGTTCGATGCGGACTTTCACTTGTTTGGGATTGTGGGATCGAGATAAGGCGACATAGAGCTGGCCGTGCGAGAAGACCGCCGTCTGCAGATCGATTCCAACGTAATGGAACATCTGTCCCTGTGCCTCCGTCGTTCATGCAGGGGCGCGTAGGTTTACAGCGCCCCCTGCATGAAAACGATGGAAAGTGCAGCGTTCATCACAGATAAAGTTGTGCGCTTATATAAGAGTATTCAAAGCCTCCAACGTGCTTGACACCAAGCTGACACAAGACGAACACTTACTCAAGAACAGAGGGCCTGGGCAGAAAAAGTTTCCCTTTTTCCGATAACGGCCGGAGGCTCCTGCACAAGACATGAATGGAGATTTATTAAGGATGTCTTTTAAAAAGCCACAGGAAATCACAAACTTGCATGAACACCAAAGTACTGCCAGTATCTGGTCGTCACAGAGGATTATGGTCTGATTTGTTTAAACCAGAATGAATGGGGTTTACTTTGCCACTGCATTCAAACTGTGGCCGTGCATTGTAGGATTATTGTGCTTTTGGATGCTAATTTGCATAATTTGTCAAATGCACATTTCAATATTTAAAAAGTCGCCATGGATACAATCTTATGATTGGTTATTCTTTTCAATACCTGCTATAGTAGCAGACAGGAATGAAATGAAAAACATGGCCAAGCTTGTTCCCTTATTTTAAACAGCAAGGATTAGTGCTCATTTCGTGGCGCAGCTGTGACTCTGTACAATGCACATGCATACGTGGCATTAAATGCCTTTTAAAGTTTAGCCGGACTAGCAAGTTTTGCACACGTGACTGCTACATGTCACGAAAACTATGTGCACGTTCAAATGTGCAGAACAAGGTATTTTTTGGAACCAATGCGCTGCCATCCAATACAGCGAGATATTAATCACCCAAAAAATACATTTTTATTAGCTGCTTTGATCAATTTGACAGGGAAGTAAATACTAAACGAAAGTGTAATTTAAAGTTTACAAATTATTGGTAAAATCGTGTTATTCAGGCACTCTTAATTTTATGTTTCTCGAAATTAAGTTAACCAACTGATTTGTTTTTGAAAAAAAAGGCAACTATAAAACTTGAAGGAACAAAGTAAAAACAATGCTGGCTGTTACCTGACTTTCTCAACATCACCTCCATTTTGCAAAACAGCTGCAGACTTCAAGTCAATGGTAGAGGAGGATTCTTCGATAACACTTTCAATCAGCTCCGAAATCTTGCTCTCAAACTGATGAACAATTTCCTCTTTTAATTTCTGAAAAACATGCACCAAGTACTTTAGCAGCATTCATGTAGACTGAATGTATTTGGATAGCCAATGCGTTCGAGATTTTGGGTTTGCCTAAATCGTAATTGTTTAAATGATGTGTTTAGCCTTGATTTGAAGCTTTCGTGACTGCAGCAATCCATACTCTTTGGTTATTTCGGTAAAGTCACGTAGGTATAACATAAAATAAATCACGACGTTTCAGGCGCAACACAAGCGTCCGTCATCAGGTGGGAAAGCATGGTGTGCTGCTGAGGCAGACTTTTAACAGACTTACTCAGCAGCACACCATGCTTTCCCACCAGATGACGGACGCTTGTGTTGCGCCCGAAACGTCGTGATTTATTTGATTTTATACCTACGTGACTTTACCGAAAGAACCAAAGAGTATGTGTTTAGCATCACACAATAATGATGAATAAGCATTTCCAAAAAATAATGTAACAGGGTGTATACCTTGCTGACTGCAGCTGAAGCAATAACCAATGAGTGGTTTTAAAATCCTTTACAGGAGTACAGAAATATCTGCAATTTAGAATAGCTCGCATTGTCTCATCCGTTTACTTAACACCACACAATTATGTATAGCTATCTATGTATATTAATAAAACAATAATTGTATGAATTCACTGCTCGTTATGCCTTTCTGTTATGGAGACTGTTTGACCATACTTCACAATGCTGGCCAAGTAAATATAATTGTTTTTTTAAGTCCATTAGAAAATGTTGTTTTAATTCAATTCTTACGAGGACCCATGGTGTTAAGCGCAATCTCCAACCCGTATTGCTCTGGCAATCTATGTACTACAAGGGCCCCATTGCTCGCCTATTATATATGTCTATATTTTGAGGCCATGTTATTGACACATGTGTTTAGTTTCTGTTTTGTAATTGTGCTGGTCAGTGTGGGTTAAAGACAGTGAGGGGGCAGGGAATGGCCAGAACCAGTTGAAATGTAACTCGTCACTTGTTAACTGTGGCAATGATCAAACATAGGTGGCTAGGTTTACAATGTAGTGAGTACGCTATCATTTACTCCACTGTACTTTGAACTCACTGAACTCCCACACCCTGTGTACTTTTTTATTATTATTTACCAACGCAGCAAGGCCTACAGCAAGTTAATTGGCAAACAATAAACACTTGAGATCTGTAAGACGAAACTATCCAAGTTGGAACCTCTGGCCACATTTATGAAAACGTTTAACCTGCCAAACAAAATAAACGTGTTTACAATCATATCTAATGCATTAGTATGTTTTATAGCCATGAGGCCAAAACTATGCAAGAATATTTTTTTTCCAATCAGGTTTTTCCATTTGTGGTGGAGCTTTGCGCTCTTTTTTTGCCCCATAAGTTCACCATCATGGGAAAACAAATACAAATTCTGTGACTGGAGAGATGACCAACTGAGGAAAACAAATGTGTGAATTTTCACAAAATGGTGTCCACATAAACTTATTAAACAACTCAAGTTGGACGTGATGTTCTACAGTTTTATTTTATTTCTACCTACGTGACTTTACCGAAAGAACCAAAGAGTATGTGTGTACATACAAGTGCGATACAGTGCTGTACTAAGAAGATTAGAGTTGCATCTTTCCAGTTTTTCTTCAAACTGTTGGTTACAGACTTGTAGATAACTTTTGACCTAATTAACGTGTTTATTTAAGTTTGACCAGTTTATTTCATTCCCTTCATAGATGATTATGAATTACGAAGCTGAGGGCTGTATGAGATATGTAACTTGGTACCCAGGGGCCACGTTTGTACCCTGTAGGCCTGTTTCTCTGCATATCTTTCTGTGCCCCTTTACAGTACTGAGTTTCCAAATCAATGTTTTTGTTCAAGACCAGTGATTTCCTAATGGCCTAGTCATTTAAAATGTTTTTTTAAAGGAATTATAGAAAAGGATTAGAAAAGTCAAGAAAGAAGGCTGCAAAGTTTGGCTTAAGATACATTTTGCGAGAATAATGGGTCACGTCCAGTTGGTTTGCTAAAGTAATAAAAATATTTTAAGGGACAGAATTGTAAAAGAATATCAGAGTATATGAAAAGACACAGTCATGGCCTCAGATACATTGTAAGCTGTGGTTGTGAGCACTGTAGAAGCACCAAGAAGGCATCATTAGCATATTGGGATACTCGGACATAAGAAAACATACATAAGTTATAGACATATCTTTGATTATTCTTGGTTCTTTCGGTAAAGTCACGTAGAAGGGAAACAATAAAATGATGATTGCTTGTGTTGCAGTCAAAACGTCATGATAATTTTATTGTTTTATATTTTTATTATTTTATTGTTTCCCTTCTACATGACTTTACCGAAAGAACCAAGAATATGAATCCCTGCAGTCACGAAAGCTTTAAATCAAAATCTCTTTGATTGTTAAGAAATGTAAGTGGTCTTGAGAAGGAAGTATCATGGCTATTTATTAGGGACTAGCAGGAAGTACCCAGCTTTGCCCGGGGGAAAATATATATCTCAAAACTTGTCTTCTCTTAAAACACAACATATACATACACAAATCCTAAGCTATTATGAAAGCCTGGCATTCCGTTTGTCCATTTGTCCATCAACGAAATTATAAGAGCCTTACAGAAGGCCTGAATCAAAAAGGAATAGAAAGTTGGGGGCAAATAGTTGATTTGAAAGGTTTCCAAAAATTGTCGACCCCCCACCCAATTTTTATTTTGTACGCATATATACCCACACCCTACATATAAGTCAGTTGTATCTAGTGACTCTACAGTAGTATCTACTGACGCTACAGTAATATATGCTGACTCTATAGTAGTATCTACTAACTATAGTATTATCTACCGACTCTATATTAGTTTCTACTGATTTTACAGTAGCATCTACTGACTTTACAGTAGTATCTACCAACTCTACAGTAGCGTAATACGAGGGTTCACCGACGGTCGCCGATCGGTGAGATAGGCTCCACCGCTTCAGCCATCAGCCAATTAGATGGATGCGCCAAGTTCAAGGGCGGAGCTCAAGGGCTCTTGTGGGTAACCATCCAGAAGGTTAGTAAGGGGGCGTGGCTATAGGCGGTGCTTAGTGACGTAGGTGAAGGGATTTAAGGGGAAGCAGGAAGAAGCTCGGGGTCAGTGTGTGGAGTCTAGAGGCGAGACCACGTCTCACGCCTCCGGCACGCCAGCGGCCACGTGGCAAGCCGAAGGCTGTCTCCTTGCGTGCCGTCTGCCAGCGGCGCGCGGGAGCAGGGGGGGAGCGTGAGCGAGCTGTGCGCAGGAACGAGAGTAGAGCGGTGTCGGTGTGAAGAGAACGCGGAGCTGTCCGGCCGACGGGGAATAAATAATAAAGAAGACACGAACTACAGATCGTCGTCGAAGTGCTTTATTACAAGTGGTGTCAGAGTGACTCTTAAAATCGGATGAAGCAGGCGCTGCGACAATGTCCAAGCATCTCAAGAAAAATAACCCACCTGCGCTGTCCTCGGACGACGATGATGACTCGCTCAACTAAGACTTATCGACCCCGGATGCTGCGGACCCGGTCACTTCAACCGCTGCTGCCTCGGCCAAGGCGCCGGGCAAGGACGTCGGAGCGGAGTCGTCTTCGCCTCCGGCCGAGGAAGACGGCTGGTGTCGGGTGATGGAGCAGATCGATTCTCTCCGCGCGGTTCTGCTCAACCTCGTAACGCTGGTCGCCTCGTCCGCGGCACCGGGCAGGCCGCAGGAGCTGCTGCCGAGCGGAGACGAGCAGGTCTCCCTTCGGGGGGTCTCGGAGGGTCCCCTCGAGCGAACATCGGCCGCCATGGCGGTCTCGGAAGGTCCGTCCACCATTACGGCCGCGACGTGGCGTGAAGCCGCCATCTTGGGCGTGGTTGTGGGTGCGCAGTCTGAGCCCACCATTTATGCGGAGCCGCGTGGCGCGCAGCTGACGGAGGCAGCATCACCCGAGGATAAGGGCGCGAGGCGCAGCCATCGCCTTCCCAACATTAAGGAATTCGTCGCGGGCGGTGACTGGAGTGCTTTTACTTGGCGGTTCGAATCCGCTTCCGTTCAGTGCGGTGGACGGAGGAGGAGACATTGGACACCTTGCCTACACTACTTGACGATGTATCGTTGGCGGTGTTCCGTTCTATCCCCTCGGGGAAGAAGTAAACGCTGAAAGATGCGTTCGCCGAGGAACCACCGCCTGACGCTCAGAGGAAGTTCATGCATCGTTGCCGCGGAGACAAAGAGTCTCCCCTTGCCTATCGCGGCGCGCTGTTGGCGCTCGCGATGGCCGCCTACCCCGACTCCACGCCCAACACTTGACCCGCTCATTCTAGCGAGGATCTTGGAGTTATCCAAGGAGATGAGTGTCTCGCTGCCTGTGTGCGGTCACGAGCCGCTGCTGTCCCGGTGGGCCGCCAGGTGCCTCGACGCCAAGGACAACTTGCGCCGTTGGGCGCAGATGGCCGCCTGGACGGGAAACCCTGCCAAGGATGGTGAGCCGATTGGATGGGCGCCGTCTCGCGTTGTCCACGTTCCGGACGACGCGGGAGACGACGACCTGGCTGCGGCCGTGCCTCGCTGGGCACTGTGACGGTGCCTGGTGGTGCGTCGGGACAGAGCCTCGACGCCGCGCGGGGACGGCGATGGGGCCGCCCAGCGGGCTGGGACGACATGCTTCAAGTGTGGCCGGATGGGCCACTTTGCGCGCGACTGTCGGAGTCGTCCCCGTCCTCCACCGCCTTCCGTGACTTCGTCTTCGGCGTCGCCTCCATGGATGGACCGTAACCCCGGCCAAGTAAGTCGGCACGCGTCAAGACACCCAGCATATATCGACACCTCATGCATCTTTCCACGAGCGTAATGTTCCGTCGGGCTGCGACTCGCGCGATACCACCAGGGTTTCGCCGCGTACAATTACTCAATGGAGGAAATTGACACACTGTGTTGTCGCGGCTTCGACGAGGTCCTCCATGGTGCCGGGCACTGTACAAGGGGTGGATGTTCGAATTTTGGTG